GTGCCACCATGTTACTGATGAATAAAGAATTATTCTGGTAGCTGCTTCACCTTATTGCTTGTCAAACTTTAAGCTAAAGTAATCATTAAATTAATACCAATGACCTCATAATATAAAGGATATTTTCCTTCAGCTTCCAATAGAACAATTTATATTGCATAGTGCATTTACAGTAACACAAAGATACATAATGTGTAACTCCACAACTAGGATATATCCACATTTTCAAGGTGATAATCTACAATAAAAGATGATTAAAAAGACCCAAAACCAAACAGTGCTATCATTTTTGCTTAAGTTTCAAATCCTTCGTTATCTCTGCCTTTTCAGGCCGACACACAATACGCTCAACTTTGAACACAGTCCACATAACATGAAAACCTTGAGGATGCCGTGATCTAGAAATCGATTTTCAGAATCACAGTAGAGGACATTGCTAAATAGACACATGTCTCTCTCTCGCTCTCGTTCAACGTTTCATTCAATCAGAGCATCGACGAGGGTCTGTGCCGTGCTGTGTTTTGACGCTGGTCTCTTTGTACTGCTGAACTGAGCGTTCATTATGCATACGCAACAAGAAAGCTGCTAATGAAGATTGTATAATTGATAAAAAAGTGCAACATCAGCATATGCGTGATATTATCAAGAGGCAACAGCAAAAAAGGAGGGAGGAAATAAGATAAAGTGAAACCGGGGGGGCTGTCCAAAAAGTGCTCTCAATATCCTTCCATCTCCACGTGGATGCTTATGGGCTGCACAAATATGCACAAAATGAAGGTTTTCGGAAATGTGACTATACTGCAAACACAAACAGACAGAAGCTGGAGAAAAACTAGAAGGTGGAAATGTTGCTTATGCAAAAGGATGAGTCATTTACATTAACAGTGAGTGCATCTGTGCAGTGTCTTAATAAGTTATAACAAAGAATATCAAATAATAATGGTTCAAATGAGACACGCATCCCAGTTTTAATGGATTTATGCTGCAGAAGCAGGCCTCAGGGAAGTGACAGCAGATTGATCTGCACACCAGCAGCTCTAAAGAAGAGTTATATTATGAATAGCAAAGAAACTGAAAAGAGAACCGAATGGTTTAACCAAAATCTTATTAATAACCTTTATAAAGATTTGCCTATTTTATGGCTTTTTATGTATTTATCAAATTGCTTTACTTAGTATCAGCTTGTCAGTTACTTCTAGAGCACCCTTCCCTGGATGAAAGGTCGTTTTTAATCCACATATATAACACTGCTAATGACAGCTGGGAAATGTGGTGTCTTGTTCTTGCTGTGCAATTAATTAAAATTTTCACATATTTATTGTGATATTCTTGACCTTGTGCTTTGGCAGCTGCTGTGTACATCTATCTGACAATAATGATGTAAAATGGTACTTAATTAATACAAGAATCAATCACTGATTGAAAAGGAAATTTACTCCCAGCTGTTTGTGACAGTCTGAACCAAAATTCAGCAAAAACTTAATATGAATTCAAAACGAAACCAAACTTCCAGACAGTAAAAATGATTATTAATATCTGTGAAACTCGCACATAATGGGTTGGCTGTGCTTGAACTCATATGAGACCAGCATCACAAAAGTTCAACTAAAGCGAAATATTGCTTCGATACAATAAAAGGACAAGGTACCATAAAGTTCAAATTAGCTTAGCCCTAATTCAAAGACTTGACCACTAAATGTCACTAAAATACCAAATGCCGAAATAGCGAGAGCCAAGCAAAGCCTTAATTCTGCCGAAGCATCCGATCTGCCCTGTAGACTGTGAGAGATGCTGACATTGTGAACGTTATGCAACAGGAGGGTGACCCTGATGAATTCTAGTGCAAAAGCATCACCAGAACATCTGTTTTATCACGTCAGCGCTCGAGTGCGTGTCAAACACTAATGAAGTATAGGCTTTTATATTTGCTGTTGTGGTGGTGCTGTGAAAAATTAATGATATAAAGAAGAATGTGAGGGGAAAATGACAAGATCCCACCCCCACATTTTAAATAGCTGATAAACTTTTCAGTGCAAGTCTTTTAGTGTTGGTTTGAAAGATAATGCATGATCCGGGTTTTGGTTGAGAGATCTTAGAGATTATGTGGATTCACTCAGAGTGGATACACTCTGCAAACTATGGCAAGTGCTTGGCATTAACATCGTAAACATCAAATTAAGTCATTTTATTATAGGATTTATTTTTTTTTCATTTTACGGTTATCTTCTCATACACAGAACAAATCAGATTATTGTTACATACATTTACTGACTGACACGCTGATTCATTTGAGAGTTTTATAATCAAGTTTATTTGCCTCAGACCAACAATAAAGTTCTGCTGTTGCTTATTTATCTCTGTGACAGATGTTCAGCTGCACCTGGTGGTAGAATATCACACTGAGCTCGCTTCAATTTCAGTAGAGAAGAACATCAGATATTTCTCTAATACTAACCTTTTATTACACAGGCTTCTGAAGACATCATTTACTCAGTCAGTTCTTGGCGCATTAGCGTTAAATACATTTTCAAAATCAGCACCTTGTTTTGCGGCCCAGTGTCACACTGAATACATCTGCATGAGTTACTCCTGACTGGAGAGTTAGATAATGAACATGTACCAATCAGAAATAATTCCAACAGCAGTCCTCAGCAGAGAACTCTGAAATCGCCTGAGAGGAAAAACAACCTGCTCAGCCAGCCAAATTCATGCAGCAGACAAGGTAATACTGTGATGCTCTCCACAAAGCAACTTAAGAGGACAGCACTTAGAAGTATGTTTCTCCAAAAAGTCCCTGAAGAGAGGCCGCCTGCCTGCTCCGCTTCTCCCCTGACTGACAGCACTCTCCAGAGGAGCTACACCGCAGGACACGCTGATCCAGTCTGACACGCCTGACCTTTCCTGGGCCATACGGCTGGCTCGCCATGCAGCACGCACCGCCTGGCTGAAAAGGCCACACCATGCCACGCAGGCAGTGCCATCACAGCCCTCCTAGCCCCGGCCTCCCCTTACTGCCACCTCAGGAGCTGGCAAGTCGTATACTCAGGACTCAATCTCAGACAGACACTCAATCTCAGAGGCTCCCATCACAAAACAAGGCCGTACCATCAGAATTTGGCAGTGATATAGTATTGGCATTCCTCCGGCGTGCCCTTAGGTGGACTAAACATTTTTTTAAGTGGATTATAGTATTTTCTTTATTACAAATGGCATGTTTTGCTGGGCAAGGGTGATTTTTTTTTTTACTTTGACCTTATACCATTTATGATATTATAATTTAAGGCATTTCTCATACACAAATTAATTATGAGGATAAAATTTGCATAACGCTGTTAGTCATCTCTTTCAAATGGCACATAAATGTGCCTTATGCAGTGGCTGGTTAGTGAGGTGGTCTAACATAATGTGTCTGCCAACAGTCTCGGTCGTCGTGGCAGAATAATCTCAGAATAGATGCTGCGGGAGCGCACTGAGGAACAAGGCATGAGAGGACTGTAAGAGCAGAATGGATGCTGCAGCTGTGAAATGAAGAGCTGTCGCATCTAGTGAGCACTTCCCTGAGTAAAGAAAACACTTGGCACAGCAGAAATAAATCATGCGCTCAAGTACTTCAGTGTAATATATATATATACACATAGATATGAGTTACTGGTTTCATGCTGAAATAGTGTCACGGATGCTGGATAATTAGTCCACAATGAATAAT